AGTGCTTGAAATGTTAAAATGTATTGTGGTTTAAATTAAATAACTTTAATTAAAAGTAATGATTAACTGATATCAAATAACTCAAGTTTATAATATCAATATTTTATGTAATATCTAGGCATTTCATGAAATATCTATACTAGTTATTCTAGTTAGGTGAAAATATTATTTGATGTGAGAATATGTAAGTTTAAAGCATTATGTTTTTAAGGTTAACATATGTATCGTTATTTCATTTGTTAAGTTCAAATAGTTGAAAATGTTAGAAGTTCATATTGTAAACGATATATTAAGTAGTAGTTAATAATGTAAGGTCATAAAAAGGTTACTGCATTTACCAGAACTTAAATATAGAGAATAGTTTAAATAATGTAATAAAATAATTATTTGAACTGCAACATTAATTATGGATTTGTCTTGTTTTTTAAACCTTCATTTAATTGATGTAATGAAGAAAATTCAATGTAACATTTCAATACATTAATTGTTTCATTGTAAACAATTGATGTATTGGAATGTTATAAGTTTCTTTTTTAATATTTAATTGTTATTAAGTTGTGAATCTTCTTTTAACAGAAATTTAATTGCATCACATCACATAATTGAAATGGTCGATTATATCCGGTGGTATTGATGCGTCGGCGTTGATTCTCTCGTCTCTTAGTAATTGTGATATGCTTTTTGTTGTATCAATTTTTTTAAGCGGTGTGTGCGAGGCTTCGGCTTTCTCCTGGCATTCCTCGCGATGACTTAGACCTTTCTTTAAGAAAGTATGTCATTGCTGCTCTAACCTTAACCCAAAGACGCGACAAGGCAGCTCGGTTCTATCCACAAGAAGATTCATTTATTATTATTTTTTTTTGTTTCAATATTTGTTTAATTTGTTATACTTTTGCGGTTTGTTGTAATATATAATTTAATTATTTCTTTGCATGGAAACACTCAAACTTTGTTTTGAAGACGTGTTTTATTTGAAGCATGTCCATAACACAATATCTAAATTAACTTATTATCCATATCTCTTATGTTTTAATATCAAATTTTACATTATGTTTATAAGAAATTGATTTATAATGAAAATTTAAAAAATATATATAAATTATATAAAATAGTATAATTAATTAATCATATGAATTTAAGCATCTAGAATCTTTACACACACAATTACAGATATTTAAAATTTGTTGTAATTAATCGTTTTTGCCCAATATGAACTAGAATTATAAAATATATAATAAAATACAAAATATATATATACTTGTAAAAATATACTTATTATAAAAAAGTACAACATTCAATATGAATAAATTAAATCTAATCCTGGGTTTAGAATAAATGGATCAACTTTCCCGTTGGATATGATTATGAATATTAATAATAATTTACTTAAATCTATAAAATAAATCTAGTAATTTAAAATTTGTTGTTTTGCTACTGTCAAGTAGGTTAATAGTCAGAACATTAATATGTGATTCCAGTCTATTTCTGTATCTCTCACGAAACATTAATAATATATTTTCAATCAGATCAATTTGAAGATCTTCATGTATTTGTCTATTCGTTATGAAACATGGGGCACTGGTATTAAATACAACATGTCAGATGAAAATTAACACATTTTCAAATTGAGGACACACAAATCAATACCATATGTCTAGAAAGATTAGAGTTTAGATTTTTAGTTCTTATCTTTAAGGTATCTCCTGTAAAGTATTTCTAGGCAATATATTAGCATACATATTTTATATATTAGTTAGTATTAATTGAGACTAAGATGAAAGAACAATGTAACGGATTGAAGCACATTAAAAACATATAAATTAAAAGTTTTACTGACCATTGAAGAAAAAAACAAAACTTTATTACTTACATAAATACTTAATTTTTTAATTAATTTATTATAAAAAAACAAAACTTTATTACTTACATAAATACTTAATTTTTTAATTAATTTATTTCGGTATACATTGTTTCTTGTGAATATTAATTTGTTTGAAATTTGACATTTCTGACATTATTTTGATTCAAATTCAAGTCGAAAATATGTTAATCCAAGAATACTTGATCCTTTTTATATATTTTTCTGCTATTAATTTCCGACAAATTGTATTTTCAATTAATTTATATACAATTCATTGTACAATTTTTGATCAAATATTATGGACAAAAATGTTTTAATCAAGAAATTATATAATTTGTAAAATAATTTACATTTTATTTCAAGTCTCCAATTTGCATTACATATTGTATATAGATATATTTTTTCAGTCAAATTAACATTTGACAATTTTAAAATTCAATTATATTGGAAATGTATTATTATTGCTAAAAATGTTGTAATAATGTCTTTTACAACTTAATACTTTAAATATGTTTTACAGTGTTGAAAAAATATTTATATTTATAATAAAACAATGATTCATAAAATGAATTTGTTTTATTTCTTTTACATATAGGGTATCCCAAAATTATGATAAATAATACAGATTTTTAATTGAAAATTACATTTTTTATTGATTCAGTATAACATTATGTATGGAATAGCATATCGGGTAAATGGTTCCACGGCTTTGCTTTTGTCGAAATTTTCCATGAGCTTTTTGCATAAGGTGGCTGAGTTTCGTTGATACAGCGCTCAATTTCCTCCTTTAAGACGTGGTTGGCCATGGTCAATACAATTTTTTTGATTTTCTTCACCATTTCTGACGTTGTCACCTCATTTGTTCGACCACTACGATGTTCATCTTGGTAGCTCATACGACCTCGTATAAACTCTGCCACCCAATATATTTTATTGTATACGGAGGAGTAAACTGCCCCAGAGTAGATAGTATTGCAACACATATAATGATGACTAATTTTTTCCATGTTTACAAATTCACTGATAGGGTTCACAGTTGATGGCTGTCAAACAAATACTAAACAACGTAGCATCTTTAAACTTTAAACTTAAGATTAATAATTTTGATCATATTTTTTTTTTTTAAACAAACCCGCCATTTATACGTGAGCTCATGTACTTCTGGGACTGCCTTCAGACAAAACCTTATAGTGTATACAATATGAATCAATAAATTACAATTTGCAATTAAAAACCTGTGATGTGTATCAAAATTACTTCTTACGTGAATTTTGGGACACCCTATTTGTGTTTTATTTGTACTGAAAAAAAAATGTATTGTATTATTGAAAAATATCATTAGTTTATAAACAAATAATAAATATTTTTAAGTAATACACAATCTTTTTGTACAAAAAAAATAACATAATATTAAGTTTATAGTTAAAAGAGAAAAAGAACATTCAAATTCTAAATATTATTACACGTTAGTATAATCCTGCAGTAACAAGTTGCCTCCCACGGTACAAAAGTATTGATCCGTACGCCAACAATGGTTTATTATGATGATACAATCAACGTCCAAGAACCTAATAATATTAGTGTATTGCCCACATTATGATGTTTATAATCCCTTTTTAATATACTTTGGCTACGTTATATTCCATTCCTTTATATACACTCATATGAATTGTATTGTTTTTTTCTATATAAAAACATACTTAGGTTTCATTTATGCATATTAATACGTACATTATAAATAATGTTCATAATCTTTAATAGTTTCTTAGGTCATGAATCAAGATAATATTTTCTTTATTTTTTTTTCTGATTTTAATTAATGTGAATTATAGTAATTGTGAATAAAATTATACATAAAAAAAGAAAAAAAAATATTGTTTTTATATTTTGATTAGAAACATAATATATTATATTTTATAAATGGTTATAATTTATTAAAAATATATTGATTGTAAATGAACATTCATTGAAACATATTCAAACATTTACTATAAATATTTTTAAATGTTTACGTCAAACAATATATTTTTAACGGATTTTGAAAGAATGATCCAAATATAATATATTAATGCAAATGCTTTTAGAGAATATGAAATTTCGCATCATATTACACGATGGAAATCATAACATTTTATATTATTTGCTTCAGGAAATAGGTCATATTTTCTGTACATTATCATCTTTTTATATAATTTATATTATTATTTATATTATTATATAATTATATAAACCTGGCGCATCCACATAATAAATATAATTAAAACATGCATACATTCAAAATAATTCTTATATAGTACTTAGAATTTCTTAATTAAGGCAGTTAATTATTTTTAACTATTAATAAATTCTTATACATTTTTGCTTCGATTAGATACTTATTGAAATTGTAAATTCATACACATTTAATACAATTCATATACAATTAAATAAATTCTAAAAATATAGTAGAAAATATATGTTTATACATAAATGAGTCAAGTATCTTTTTGAGCAGTTCGTTTTCAAACAATCCGGGATATTGACAAAACTAATTACTTTCCGATTTATTGCTGTATATATTTCGATATTTATCCTATATGATTCTTTCTTCTGTTTAAATGAAAAAAAAATGTGTTTAATGACAATTTTTTAAATATTGTTACTGGGTTTGTACACTTATAATCAAGAAAACTTAATGAAATATATGATATTCATTATTAAATAATAATCGTATGTTTAAATTGTATTTGTATAGTATTTTTATTGTAAAATTGTTTTGTTATAATGTACATTGTAAGCCCTGATTATCTATATAAATTACTCATTTTCCTTAAATCTAAATATTTAAACGTTATCACAGAATATAATAAAAAATATAGTTTCTACTTGTTTTTGATAAAATATTATATTTTAAGATGTGTTAATACTAGAACTAAGAAGCGACAATAAATAACAATTTTATTTATACAAGAAAATAAATAAGTTAGATTTCAAAAAAAAATACTAAAATGATAATAAATATTTATTATTTTTAAATATTTCAATCAATTCAATGCAGCAAATACCAAAAGTTTGTTATTATTATATTTACTTTTTAATATTTACTCCTAACTGCTTGATTGCATTTACGGAACTCAAGGAAATGTAATTTTAACTTGGACTCGGTTTAAATTCATTCTCTAATTGACTTCTACGGAGTTGTAGTTGAGCAATTAGTACCCAGGGGGTTGCAATGATTTATAGCTCAATTTTCTCTATCTCTGATCGTATCCAGTTGGCCGTGACGGCGACGGAATGATAAATCCCCGGCTGATGATGCTCCCCGCATCCGAATCCTGCACTGGTTATCCCCACGAGCGTCCATCTTCCATCCTCTAACACGATCAGAGGTCCACCGGAATCCCCCAAACATGCGTCCTGTCGTCCATCCTCGTATCCTGCACAAAGCATGTCATCGTGCAGCTCCACCTTTATCTGCTTCGTCTTGTGCCAGGATATGCATTCTTCTATACCTAAAATAATATTGATTTATAATATTTAACATGACGAATTTAGTTATATAATGTTATATATACATTATTATACTTGACTTGAGATAGAAATATATGTCAGAATTGACAACTGCAATTGTCAGTGTCATCTTGCTTCATAACATATCTATTTGACTAACATTTATGACTTATATCACGCATAGTATGATCATAATATGCTAGAACTTCGCATAAAGTATGGTGAGACACATCTGTTAGACGAACTAGTTCGAGTGTTATTGGATTCCTCGACATGTGATAAATACCAATTATTGACTAAAATGTAAGTCATCTTTAGTCTTTTAATGTTCAACCCTCGTCATACTTGATTTTAAGACATATTTGATAGTCGAAATATTTAGTGCCATTGCACTTCATGACAACCAATAATTGGATGCCAGTTTGATTTTTATAACTCATATCACGCATATTGTGAACATAGTTTTAATGTCATCTTAAGTCATCTAATGCTGAAAGATTATCATACTTGACTTAAGACATATCTGTCAGGCCAACTACTTTCAGTATTATTGTTCATTAAGTCGTATATCACACATTATAGTAGTATACAAAATACGAAGTTTAAAATATATTAAATAAGGTTTCCATAATATATGATAAGTATATGGAGTAGAAAATGGTGATGTATTAAATAAAAAACAAATAATAGAAAATATATGTTTTACCAAAATGTGGCTTTTTCACTAATCAATAACTAAAAATAAGTTTCTTCTGTTTAAGCAATAGCAGTAATTGCTAAATACAACATAATATAATTGGAGAAGTAATTAGACATATAATAAAATTATATAGTTAGAAAAGATATATTATATAATATATAAACCTACTTGTTTTCGAATAATAATAATATGTAACTCATATGCAAATTTGTACTTGAATTAATTAGTAGTTGCAAGGTGTACATATTTCAAACTTATAAATAAATAAAAAAAAAATATCTAGTTTTAAATAATGTTTCAAAATAATAAAATGACTGAAGAATTACTAAAAGCTCTATTAAATATTAAACAATTTCCCTGGAACTACAAAGTACAGATTTGTTTATCCATAATAATAAGTGATGCTTTACGTTAAAAAACGTATAATTATTTAATTCAGTATTATTAATTTACTATTGCAATATTACAGATATTTATGTAATTAATTTTAATCCAACATATTTTAGTACATATTCAGATGCTTAAACATAATTTGTGCGTTTAATTAAAATGAAAAATATATATTTCATTGATTGTTGATCATAAAACATATTGAAATAAATTGAATTATTAGAATTTTTATCGAAACTAAAATAATCGAGTAACAAATATTAGTTTTAATAGTTATAACTGTAAAATAATAATAAATGAGGAGTATGGTCTTTGATAAAAGTGTTACACGTAAAATGAATATGAAAATAAAAAGAACTAGTAAAGTTTATCTTTTTAATTTACAGTCTGTTTGATGCTCCATTCCACTTAGAATCCGTTCAAGGTCTTCTCTTTTTCTTTCCTCATTTCTTACTCTGCAGTTTACCGTACGCCGAGAAAGAATTACTTTTTCATTATAAACTGTAGAAAGGGTAGCGGAAGCAATTGGAAAAAAATCAATTTGCAAAGAGGGCGAAGCGACAACGAAGAAAAATTGCATTTCCACGTCGCCAGATTTACTCACTCAATATGGGAACAGAGGCGCTCCTGAGGACGTTTGTGCCAGAAAGGGAATTGGTCGGCTTTATTTTTCCCCATCCTGCGACGATGGCTTTCCTTCCCGGAAGATTCAATGCCATCCCACTGACATGGGGTAGACATATAGGTACTATATGAAAAGAATGACCAGCCTCTGTGACCATCTCCAACAAAGCCAGATCGAATCTGTCCGGCTGCGTAGTTCTGAACATAAACTCGGGATGCAGTATCTTCTTACGTACCTGAAAATACTCGTAAGATTAGAATTGCAGAATAATTGAGTTGGTGCAAGGAGTACTTACACGATGTAGTTCAGCTGGAGCCAATTCCAGGACTTTTCCTGTATCCTGCGTGTCCAATTCGCCTAGATAAACCGTGATGTCGCGTAATCTAGCCCTGATTATGCAATGAGCTGCAGTGGCCACGAACCGTCTGGAAACTGTAATTCGTCTTAATAAATTAAACCGTTTCTAACCGTTCCGTTTAATTTTCTCGGAAACACGTGTTTGTGTAGGACAACTTTAAGACCCTTTGCATATTTGTACGGTAAGTTCTAGTTTACTCCTCAGAAAACAGAACCTTCGCTGAATTTGAAATACCCTCGGCTTTTTACAAAATCCAATTCGGTTTCTTCAAAAATGGATTACGTGGGTAAACGTTTTATATTCGCAGGTAGAAAATGCTTCCTTTTAAAATCTAAATTTTTACGTAGATTTTAAATTATTACTATTTTACACTTTCGATAATCTATATTAAGTATTCTTATTATCTTCCTTAAATTTGATATCATCTTAATAATAATATTTATTGAAACAGAAAATTACAAATTTTTCAAATAGAATAATACAAATATCATCAACCAAAAAAAAGTTAATTGCTTCACAGGGCTATTAACCATAGGTCATTCTGCCCTTATCATCTTATTAATATAGAAAACTAAACTTAAATTAAATAATTTTAGAGGTAATCATATTTGTATCCAAAATACTAAGAATTATCAAATCTCGTTATAGTTTACTCCAATTTTATTATAAACATACAACATTTGGATTTCATTTGATTGATTTGAAGTTATAACTGGAAATATAGGAACATTTCAAAATCTTGGAATTGTAATGAAAGTGAACATTTATTATGTTTCTATTATGAACGTAGAAACAAACCATAAATTATAACAGATATACATTAATTTTTGATATACTAATAATAGTAATAATTGTCTTGAAACTAGACTTATTTAGTTATATAACAAATTGCAGGATTATCGTACTGTGATTCATACAACGTCAATAAACATCATTGTTTTCCTTAAGTGAAAATGTTTGTTTTTTAACATAGACGTTGAATTATCTTTAGAGAAAGGAAAGTACAAACACCAATTGTTTCTTAATGCATTATATTATGCAATGTAATGTTATCTAAACATGCTTGTAATTAAGTACACAAACATTTTCTTTAGAATTTGATAATTAACTTTCTTAAAAAATAGTATTCGTTTACCAACAAATAAATTCAATTAAAAATATTATTTAAATCAGTTTTTATTATTAAAGTAATTTCAAAAATAATCTCAGTTAAACAAATTTTTATATTTTTTTTCCAGAAAAAAAAATTTACATTTAGTAATAAATCAAAGAAAAAATTATACATTTTAGTTTTAAATCATAACAAAATTATTTGTTATAAAGGCTTTCCATCCAAAATTGGTATGGTGTGGTATGTTTCATAAATTGTAATTTAATATAAAATATTATGAAATAAATTAATTTATTATGTGAAACATAGTTTTTTAATTGGAACTAATAATATTATTAAGACAGAGAAATAATAATGATTTGAAATTATTGTTAGGTCGTAGCTCTGTGTGAGAATTGTAGCATTTCCCAAGAAATTTTGCAATTCCGAGAAGAAAAAATATCTCGATTCACGGTTTCTCAGCAATGCCGAGCTCGTTTCTCATTGAGAGAAAAGCCTTACTTGCCGAAAGAAAGTAATATTATTGTGCGGCAAACAAGTTTCGATATCGAAACCTTTTAGGTTGTTTCCTTTTTTTTCAATTCGTTCACGGAAAGTTACATGCTCTCATGCAAAAGGTTCTACTATCTTGATTTGGACGTTTCCAGTTTCCTATCTAAATCGTAGATACGTTTTCTTTTTATAGGAAATTTATTTGCTGATAGAGTTTAAAGAAGGAATGATCTTTGCTTTTTAAACCAAATTGAAAACTATAAAGTGAATGTATTAAAAAAACGATTAGTTTTTTATAAAAATTATCTTCTAAATCAAATTGATTTTATAAAATCTGTTAAGTTCAAAAATAATTTTTCTTTATAAAACTAATAAATAATTCTACAAAAACAAAATATATTTATTTTTTATATAATATAGAAGCTTTTGATGAATTAAGTATTTATATATTTCTTTTATAACTTATGTTATAATTAAGTTAATTAAAATAATTCAATATAATTCTACTAAAACATTAATAAGTTCATTGTTCCTTCAGTACTGAGGAGAGCTTGTAGAGATGATGAACAGAAATGAGAATATTTACCTAAGACGCCTCCGCATTGGTAGGATGAGATCTTGATGTGGGCTTGCCAAGGGAATTGTCCGAACCTGGCTTCAGCGCCTCCAATGATCCTCTTCGCAAGTACTCGATCCGCGGAAAGACCGCACCCTTCATCCTCAACGTCTCTCCGCAACGAGTTGGACATCAAGTCCTTCGACCTACATAAAACATGGTGGATAGTTTACGTTGTTCTTCGGGACTTCCAAATCTACTCACTCCAAAAAAGGTTGGTCGGCCAGATCATTGACATCATCATCACTGTAATCGATCCGGACCGGCTTCATCTTGCGTCCGGTTACGCAACAGGCGACGAGCCATGGGTTCGCGCCGCACCCGGCCTGGCTCGATCCACCCACCATCCAACAGGCAAACGAAAGGGTGCAGGCGTGGGACACCCCTTTGCGCTCACATCTCTGAGGATAGCCCAGCATCGTCACGAACACACGACCTACGAAATTCATCACAGAAATTCAATTAGCTTAAAACAACAACCCGCAGCTGCGACGTTAGAACATATCGAGTTTTATTGAAGACGATGGGATTATACAAGGATCTCGGATACTATTAAATTGTTGGATGATGGGCGAAACATTGCATTGCAAATTTCAGCAGTATTATTAAGGTATTCCCAATGTAACATGTATATATCAAATTGCATAATTATTAGATCATCCGCAAAATTCGTGAAGTTTCACTAAAATTGAAAATCAAAACTTTTATATATCGATAAATTTTAATTATGTTATTACGTTATTTCAGCTATAGAAGCTTCTCTGTAAACAGAATATTTCTCAGTTAATGCTTTGATAGCATTTTTTCCATCTTCAAGAGGGTACTAATCTGACATAAATAATTTGATCCAAGTAAACTTTTTACTAAAGACAGATGATAACAATTCTAATATATTCAACCATTACCAATACAACTTAGCGAAAATTGATACAAACTTTCCGGAAAACTCAATACTTATGAGATGAGATAATATTTCTTGCATATTTATAAGCTAATATGGTGATAGTAACGAAACATCTCATGTATAATAAAGTGCTTGTAGAATGAGTACCAACTTATACTTAATACTTGTGAGTTATAATTTTGGTATTAATAACCATAATTATATCTATTGTTCCATAAAGTAACTATTAGGAACCTTACTATTTCACTATTTAAATGCTACATAGTTGTTATTTATGTCTCATTATTTTTTTAATTTTTTTATATAAGTTTATTTGATTTTGAAAGAAATACATACGTTATTTAGATATGTATACCAACTTAAAAGCAATTATATTTTCGGTTAATTTGATTAAATCCACGCATTTTTTATATATTTTGTAATCAAGCTATTTAGTTTGATAGTGTGTAGCCACCTAATGGTATTATAATAAACATTTTCATTAAGAACATTTTCAAAGTTAACTTACGAGTTTACTGAAATGAAGTAACTAGGTGTTTGTATATTTATTTTATTAAAAATCTCTTCAAAAGGATTGCACAGTAATGTATGTTTAATAAATCTTTTCAGTATTATCAAATGCAAACACTATTTAGATAATTTAACATTTAAAAAAAGTTTATATTGGAATAATGGAAACTGAATTATTTTATTATTTTCATTGTTTTCTATTCAGTAAATAATTAATTTGATATATCAAAAATACTGCAGCAAATATTCTTTTATATGTGTGTAGAAGCATATGTTCAATAAATTATGTTTATTAATATTATCAAAGTACCTTTTTTAAATTCTTTATAATTCTAATAAAAAAAATATAATTTATAGTAGAAATTTTATAAAATTCCAGAAAGTTTTAAATATGTTGATGTAGCGAACATTAAATAATAATTATAGGCTCGAATACCAAAGGTCAATACGCCTGTAAAATTATTTTTCGTAATTATAATAATTAATATTTCTTTATTTTATTTTTGTGTCTTGTATAACTGTTTCAATTATCAATAGTATTAATTTATTAATAAATCGAAAATATATTTAGTTTAATTGAAATTAATGACATTCTGGCTTGAACTTCAAGCAATTTAATGGATCATGCTCGAAACGTTACAAATCTATTTTTATTCCAGACAGAGCAAACATTACGATTATATAATTCGTTGCACAGCGATAACCGCCGTTTGATCTTACGAGAAAATGCCAGTCAAACAAGCCTCGTAATTTACTTACTTTCTACACCGCGATCTTCAAACATGACATTTAGTCACCAAATTGTTATTGCGAAAAACTAAAATAGGAAATTTATTTCGGAATTTCATTCAAACAATATGAATACCAACATTAAAAGTCTGATAATTACTTTTTTGAAAAAATATAGAATTTTTTAAAATTAATGTGTTGGGGACTATATATATGTCAAATTTAAAATAAACACGTATATTGTTTTTATTTAATCTGTGAGAATTAGTTTTTATCGGGACATTATTGTCCCAACAGACATCGTATCTGGGATCTATTGTCCCAATAGACATTGTAATTAGGAACTATTATACCACTAGACCAGAACAAAAAACTCAACTGAAACAATATATATTATAAGTGTAAAAGTATATTATAATGGTTACATGTGATAAGGTGTAAAACAAACGTGTAAACATATAATGTTGTAAACAAAACTCGTTGCAACTCGTTTTTTTCTTTTTTCTTTGCTGCACATGAACACAACGTTTTCTTGACACTTGAAGGATGGGCATTTGATCAACAATGTTATTGAACATATTCGACTTTTTGCTAGGTCTCCCTGAAGGTCTTCTTTCTGACAATGGGACAAGGAAGTCAACAAATGGTATCTTCTTTTGGTGCACGTTTTCTGTATTATCACAATAGACTTCAAAAGGTTAACCCTCAAATTACTAAAATAATAGATTAATGCAAACTCAAATATATTTTTTTGTTTATAAGAAAACTAATTTTGGTTGTCCAAATACAAAATTGCATATAATATATTTTTTTAACTTAGATCATATGGCAGAAATGTCATATGATATTGCAATTACAATTGTTAGACCAGTTAACTTATCATTATGATAATTATGGTAATTGTGCAGATGACAGACGTTTATGTCTAATGCCACGCTTAATGAATGGAGCATTAAATATTTACGTGTAAATGCGTTCGCAGTTACTTTAATGGATTATTCAAAACACTGCGAATATAGTACAGATTTTAGCTTATAACGGTAAAAGAAAGCTATCACCTGGTAGTAATTTTCATCAACTTTTGTTTGAAAACAATTGAACCTTTAAATTTGTATACTTCGTAAATAAATATTGGAATAAAGAAAGTTTCTTTAAATATATAATAGTAGGTTATTATATTATATGTCAGATATGAATATCATTCAAGCTTGACGTACGTTGGTGAAAATTGCACGTTTTTCCGTTTTGATCATCGGAATTTATGCAAGTCTGTAGTAAAAACAACTTTTTAAAACGCGCAATTGAATAACTAGAATTATTTTAACGATGAACAAGTCAACAATAATTACCATAATTGTCATAAATCATCCTCAACTATACTGAATAAAAAACTGTATTTTTTGCTTTTGCTTTTCTAATATTTCTTCAAAAGTATTTAAAGCGTATTACGCTCAAGAGACAGACACCAACCTTTAAATCCGTCTTCTCGTTAATTGTATAACTGTAATCGACTAGTCTCGCGCGCGAAATAAGAAGAGAAAAAAAAAGCAGAGAAATAAGAACGTGAGCGCACTTCAATTTGGGCTTCTTGCAATTATTTCCACACCACGTTTCTTTTTTTAAAATGTAACATTATTAATGTTACTAACTACATCCGCGTTGTTTTCTAATTGCTTGAGTTATGCGCATTCTGCTACATTTAAAAAAAAACACTATATATTTTGAACAACATACGTTCTTAAATATTGAATATAACTACAAAACATTGTAAGTTTTTCAATATTCTAATTGATATATTTACGATCAAAAGCACATAATTTTGTTTACTAAAAGGTACAATTCTGATCTTGAAAGTCTAAGTAATTATTAATTTGCATGTTCATATTTTCATTTACAAATAACATTCAGTTGAATCACCGACAACATAAGCTTAATATTCCTCAATTCCTCTATATTGTTCATCTTAAATCGTAAACAAATCGCAATAATTTATATAAATGCAGCAGTCTAGGATTGTCTTGTTTGAAAATTGAAAAACATACTACGTTTTAATTGACTAAATACAAACAAATTCTAAAAAACTAATTTACAAAATTATTTTTTATATATAAATCTTTTTTTTATACAGTCAAGTTGTATTTTGTGCGGTTTATTTTTTCGATATTTGAAATTATATTATTTCATAATTTCAAAAATTATATGTATTAGTAATTAAAGTATAAAATCTAAAAACCGGCTTCATTTGTAATGATGATTATATTTACTATTTTTTTATGAATATTTGAAAAATGTACCAAATTAGTTCTAGGTCACAATTTCCAAATTATTGTGAATGGTTATTTTGTTTGCGTAAGAAATTTAAGATGAAATATTTTTTTTGTGTTTATAAAATATAATAAAAAAAAATTGTTGTCATAATAATAGTACTAATGTTATGTTAAAAAATATTTATTTTTATCCAATTTTTGTAAATGGAATAAAGAAGACAAAATTTTGAATTCAAGTTGAAAAATTACATTTAAATCTATTTCTCAATATAAATAAAATATATTTTTTTTTTATCCCTACAGCTCTATTTCGGCAATAAAATATATTGAACATTAGAATACGTAACATTAAAACCGACCTAATTAAATACATAATATTGAGATTCTAGATCTTTGAAAATACTTTAAATATACATTAATGAAGAAAAAATATATTAGTTTATTAACAAATTCTGCCTTGACTCTTTGAAACCGAACTGAATGCACAAATAAACCGCACAAAAGTAGGAATTAATATTTAGTTTATTTCGTAATTTTCAAACCGGACTATAGTGAATCTGAACTGATTAATACTGCACTATGTGAGGTATTGTTTTAATGGATAATTTAATAGAAAATGCATCGGTGGTTCAGTGGTAGAATGCTCGCTTCCCAGTCTAATAGAAAACAATGAAGGATCAAATCATTAAACTATTAAAAAAATATTATTTCTTAATAATTATTTTTTTATAAAAATATATTCATCAATATATCTTCTTCTATAGTCATTATCCTTGAGTCCAGTTCAAGTAAGATACTAAAATGTAGTTAGTACAAATAAAGTCGAATGCTCGAATGCCCAAAAGTTGTTGTTTTATTAGTTGTCCTACGAACTTATTGAGTAAGGTGTTATATAAATAGCTAAAACAAATTATCGATTGATAAAAATATATACATGAGTTAGCATACTTACAAAAATATAATGAAAATTTAAAAAGCAGATAAAATAAATAAACAAACACGAAATTCAAATATAATTGTGTGAACTTTCTGTTAACATGTAGTTATTTTTAAAGAAAGCGAGACACAGTTTAAGATTAATTTTGGTTCTGGCCATTAACTACGAACTTTATCTCGTTTATAAACGGTAAGGTCTTTTTAAGGTTGCCAAGCGTATACCAATGTAATTTAATTTTGAGACCATGCGGATGACATAAAATCCACCATTAAAACAATTTCCAGAGTGTAACGCTTTTCCACTCTCTCGCTGTCTCTTACTCATACACATCTCTTTCCGTGGCAACGTTTAGCATTTAAAACAGATAAAAGAGGCTACTTGGAATTAAGCATAACCATAAACTGGGAAGATTATTTGGGTCGTGGATATTTACGGTTTACTGAATGCTCCAGCAACATGCATATGCATATATCTCGATCGTCTCTAAATTAATTTCCATTTAGCAAATATATTACATATTTCCACATATGCTATTAATTTTAATAAATGTTATTGGATATTGAAATCAAACATATAATATACGTAATTCGTGATGTATTAACATTATTATTTATATTTTAATAGTTTCATCTTCTTATATGGATATGTTCATTAAAAACATAAGGTAGAAAATTGAAATATATCACATACTGTCAATACAAAAAGTTTATGACAAAATAAACATTAATTCAAATAACAATTAATATTTTCTTCATACAAATATTTTTTCCAAATAAGATTTTATTCAATAACAAAATTGATATCAAATTTACAAAAACTTAAAATAAAAGATGTTAATAAATCTAATTGTGCAGCTTCGGTCAGTCCAGATTCAGTATATTAAATTTAACAAATTTACACAATATTATTTTTTTATATATAGGTCTTTCCCTTTAAGTCTGTTTTCTGAAGTTTTTTTTAGGCGGTTTTAAAGTCTTCGATTAGTCCGATTTTTCACACTATGCGAGGTATAGCTAGAATTATATTTGTTTGGAATATATAATTTATATACTTTTAAAAGTAATTGCTTTTATGAATGTTATTAATTAATGATCAAATAAATTCCATGCCTATTACACTCTCCACATTATAAATTATTATGCAAACGAACATCAATTTACTTGATTTAGATTGCGTCGAAATAACTTCAAACATATTTCACTTACGTTAAAGCTTTTTTTTTAGGATTACATTTTTATTTTATTTTTATAATTATACTCACTTAAGTGCCTCAACTTACTTTCTATAATAAAATATTTTAATTAAGATAATTAAATTTTTGATAATGTTTTTGATTACGTGAAATAACAAAATAATAAGTTATTCTTAAATACAAACAATTTCCAAATATTTCAGTCGTAACTACTTTCACAATTAAGAGAAATTGATAATATAAAAATATTAAATATTGTTAAGTAAAACAATTATCATTAAACATTTTAAGTATGAAGAGATTTATTTAATAATATAAATTATGAAATGATTGAAAACTAATTTTTTATCTATCATTATTTCCGTACTTTTTACATTTCTAAATGAGATACCGGTACCAAGGAGCGTGCCGAAAGAACCCAAGCTGAGAGTCATACACATAATAAAACGAATAAAAAAAATGTAAAAAATGTATATAAATAAAAAAAAGATGTAATTATACAATTATTTTTTTATGTTAGCAATAAAATAGTTTCTAGTTAATTTAAATTGGCTTTATATTTAAATTTTGTATAATTTCATAAAACTTAAATTTTGATTGGAATAAATTTTATGTCCAGATGTAACATAAAACTTCTTAGATATTCATCTTGTTAGAAATGAAAATGTAATAAACTTAATTATGTATTCATGAGACGTATTGCAATAAAAAATTGAAGGCGAGATAAACTCAATCCTCTCAAAGATCACGATAGATACGCCACACTTAGAAACAAAGGTAAATGGAGAACAATGGAACAAGAAACCGCTAAAAACATGTTAAAAAACAGTTTAAAGACGATCGAACGGTATGATCTACAAGAAATGTATTCATTGCAAATTTCTCATTAAGATTCAGTTGTATAATGAACGAAAAGTTGCACACATTTTATATTTTTTTTTTAATAAGTATGTTAATAATTATAGCAATACATCACATTTAAGATTAATTAAAATATTTGGGCAAAATTACTTTGGTTAATAGCCTTTTTGTCAAAATTAATGAAATTTATATATTTTTTTTTATCATTTTAAGAAAGTTAAATTACAGAAATTAATAATGAATTTGATTTTGAATAGAATTATACACATTTCCTGTTTTATTTTTAATAAATATAAAGTAATACTTTGCACAGTGCGGATAATCGGTTCCGCCAATTTCTGTTCGAAATCGGACTAATCAAGGAATTTAAAACAAGTTAAAAATAAAATGCAAGAAAAGAGACTTCAGAGTATAGGGAAAAACGATCGTTTATGTTTAAAAAATAATCTTGTGTTCTGTTTTTTGCCCAATTATAAAAAATATTCTAACCGCACTATAGTGAATCAGCACTATTCGAAGCGAGGTATTGCTTTATTAGTATGCATTTTTTGTATACATACACAAAATATATATTTTACGTATTGAAATTTTTATAAAACCAATTTTCGATTAATTTGTAATTTTATATATAATAACTTATTATAATACTTACATTAATTATAATAATGCATCATCTTATTTAATAAATAATAAAAAGAAGTATTTATTTTTATCAATTTAAGAAAGTCAAATTGTTACTTGTAATAGTATTAGAAATTGCAAGGCTTCTTTCAATTTTTATCAAGAAAGTAGGTTTGGGTCAATTTGAGTTCACCTTCCTATACTTAGATTTAGATTGTATAGGATATATGAAACAAAACACATCGTTTTCACTAATTCGAAACGACTCTTACAACTTACTTTGTCAGATAAAAAAAAATATGTATTTCCATTCATTCTTTTAATTAATTAATTGGCTATAAAACGCGTGCTTAATATTTATTGAATGCCATTTTATACACGTAATTACATTAAAATAGAGCCGATATTTAATAAATTCTTTAAATTTACAAATACCAAACATTTAAAGTTGTATTTAGAAAATTAATCCAAAATAAACATTGATTTTATAAATATTACTTATGGACTCTTAATTGTTATAATTTTTAATGGATTTATTTTAATTAATTATTAAATATGATTTAATTATTTAAAAAGTGGATATTATGAAATTATATATAATTAAATTATTTTCATTTTTAATAAATTATTTTGTTGTAAATAATTAATTTAATTAATTATTTATTTCGTAATTATTATTGTCTCTTTATTTGGATCCAAAGTACTAACGTCCGAAGACATTCAGCTTATCTATTGAAAAAGATCTGAGAAACTAACAGAAATTGATGTGTAATTAAAATGTATTGGTAAGAATTGCATTTCCGCAAGAAACCAATGAAACAGTATTAATATTGAAAATAGTTCGTGGAAGAGAAATTGAACTTAATTTATTCATTGAAATATTACAGAAGCAACCGGCTTTTCCTTCGATTTTAACGAGGAGCAATTTCTACAATAAATGATCGAATGCAACGCGAATATTTTATTCTTTTGCAATCAACAAAAAAACGAGCGCATTATTATAATAATAAGGACATTCTAGATTTCGTGTAGATGTGTGTAAATAGGATAAAGAAATTGTCGCTCTTGAAATATATATGTGTGATTATCATTTCTTACCTGTAAAAGCAATCCGTTTCTCGTAGCCGTTGAGACCGTAGTTGTTCGGATCCTCCACCAACCTCGAGTAAGAAGTCCTCCAGGTGTCGAAGATACCGAGAACTTGGGCATTGTTGCGCAGGTGATGGTTGTAATGGAACAAGACCAGAATGGAAAGGAAAAAGGAGGATGCGGTTCTCATCTCGCACTCATGTTTATCACTCTGCGTCCGACGTCTCTCTGTGGATGCGAATGTCTCGACTTCTTCGTTTTTTTCTTGTTGTTGTTTGTTGTTGAAGATGCCACCACCAGAAGATGTTGGTAACAGTAGAGGCAGTGCGAAGAGTCTTTCACCTGTTCCTCCACTTTTTTTAGTCACATACTCTTCTGCATTAGCCTCACGCAGCCCACTCTTAACACTCGTGCGCTCGCACAAGTAATTGGCTCAATTTTGGATGTTATGCAACTGCTCGAACGCAATCCACGGAACTAAATATGAAAATAATAATTTTGAAATTAGAAAAATGATTATGTGATAATCATAAAAAGAGAGATAATTTACGGATTAAGTAATTATCGGATTTAAAGTTTTGTAATGCTTGTGACCTGATTCTTTTTGCTAGGAGAGAAAATATTTATGTTTTATTAATAATTCCGTTAACCAAGTAATGTGTTTTTCTAAAAAATTATTAGTCTACGTCTGTTTTGTATTCGTTTTCACATTAATATTATAATTTGATTGAATATTTAATTATTTATATTAAATCACATTTAATACTATGAAATCATGAAAAATAAGACTAGTTTTGTTTTTTCACTACAATTTTTATGAACAATTTATTTAATAAAATATTTGGTTTCATTTTCAAAATTATAACTTAGAAAACATTAAAAATAAATAAAAGACTATGAAAATTAAAGATTTGAAACATTACAAGTAAATTATTTAATTTCAATTCAAAGTCTAACATGAAGATTAAGATTATAAATTAAATATATAAATTTAGTTCCATAAAAATTTATTTCTAAATAATGATAATATTTATTAGTTACAATGCAACCAAAGGGCTATCGACCTAAGTCTTTCCGCCCATGTGTTTCTATTTAACTTATTTATTTTACTTAATTAAAATTTAAAATTTAGTTTGTTTTTGATTTTTTCAAAGTATAGTGAATATATTTACAAGGTATTGCTGTAATTATTTATATTTCTTAATAACAACAATAATTGTAATTTATTGGCAAAAATATATTTCTTATATTTATGTTTTCTACAGGATTACATTTTTATGTTTCTTTTTTATACAAGGATTAATCTTGTTTAAAACACTGTGAGGACTATAATCAAGGACAAAGAGCGGATTCTTGCAGAGATGAAAAATGCCCGATCACTCAATACAACAGTTATATAAAAAAACGTCATGAACTTGTTTCTGAAATGAAGTCTTTACTAAATTGGTGTAATTACGAATATACACACAGTTGGCCTGAAGATTAAAATTACATATGTATCGAAACCATTTTTTTTCAAATAATCTACACTTATCAAAAATGATATAAAAAGAAACTTTAAAGTTTCACTTCTTAAATATAATGTTATCTAATTAACTAATTAACGTATTGAAAAATTTGGTATTTATTGAAATTAATATTTTCAGATTTTATTACTATAATAAATTGTATTGTTCTTCAAAATCAGTAGGAACTATGATCTTCATTATATCGATAGAATAATTATTTGTAACTTAACTGCAGAACATTACTAGATTCACGTGAAATTATTAAAAGATTTATTTTATTCAATTATTTTCTCATTTTATTATTTATTCAATTTTATTTATCATTAATATTTATTTTCCTCAATGGAATCACTTTTTTACACATCAAAAATTAGGAACATTAAATGAGAGTTAATATAGAATACTTAATTTCAATGGTTAATAATCTCGTGATCTCGTCATCAGTAAAATAATTTGAAATATTTGCTGTTCGATTAAGTATTTGAACTAAGTTTATAAACATGCTAAATAAAATAAAAAAATATTATGTTTTTTTATAACATAACAAAAAGTAATAACTTTAAAGATTAAACATCGAATTTAAAAATCATTAACTAATAGTAAATAATCTTGTTTCTCGCATAAAAAGAAAAGTGATTGGGAACCTTTTGCTCTTCGAATAAGTAAAGATATTTGTATTTGAGGCAAGTTTATTGCTTGAGACAAATTGCTTAAAAGGTGAACAAGTAAATACTTCGGTCTTTATTTTTGCTCACTGCTCTTATTTTATACACTTACGAAACACTCGAACGAGAAACAACATTCGCTTTGGGAAATGTTGTTTTTCTTAATGCTGTTGTCCACTTTTAAATCAATTATTGCCATTTTTATTTAACACAAAAGTTACACATTTAAAAGTAAAAGAAAATAAGTATGTTTCTTTTCTAATGTACTTTATTTTATATAATTAAAGTATTACAAAATTTCAGGAATATTTAAGAAAATGTATATAATGTAATTAATAAAAATAATTTGCAAATACAATGAAAAAAGTAAATAATTGTTAATTATTTGATATATTTTATAGTTAGAAATTTCTTGGTCCTTATAACTATAATTGGTATATATAAATTCATATAAGTTTATGTAAATTTGTCAATAAATAAGTGAAAAATTGAAATATGTTTTTTCATCCTGTAAACTATATTTGATACTATTATTTATTACACAATAAATTATAATAATACTAAAGTCAAATGTGTTATATACATTACACAACATATGTCTATTATTATTAATAATAAGAAGACATAATTTTGTTTTAAATTGTTTCATTACATAACTTTTATAATTTATTGCATTTTTTTTGCACAGAGGAAGTTCAAAATACTGTTATTAATAACTGATATAAAATAATTAATTCCAAAGAAATTTAAACGTTTATAAACAGAATAACAATCGTTAATAAATAATGATTCATGAGTATGTGTAAATAGTAAATATTTCCTCTTAAGTAAATAAAAATTATTGAAGGCTATTAACTTTACTTTCAATAAATAATTCCCAACATATACTTTAATAATCAACCAATGCTTATATCTAAAATAGAAATTTAAAAATTACAACTTACCAATACTTATATAATTTCAACTAATTAAAAAACGAACGAATAATTATATTAACCACTTGCTATTTAAATGAATGTCACGTTACAAATTAATCAATATTATCGTTTATTGAATCGATTTCAAGTTAACGTTGTTTGTACAACTCTTGGAAAATTTGCGTCCGTACTGTTGGTAGTTCTTCGAGACGCAGTCCGAGACTGGTAAAGTCGCGCTCGCCATGAAAGGTGGATATAACAGTAAAACGGCGATACTAACGGAATACACCTTAAAATGACCCACATTTTGAATAAATATATATCAATTTAATTATTTAATATAAAATTCCTACTAGAACAGACAAAAAAAAAGATCTACTCCTCCGTGTTTTCGTTTGTCCATCTTTTTTTTCTTCAATTGACATAAACTACTTTCCAACATATGATATCATTACTAAATAAAACTACGTGGTTTTTATGGTTTTTTTTAATGCAAATAACACAGGTATGTATTTTAAATTTTTGGGTATAAACATTTGTGATCAAAGATCAAATTTACTCGGCTTAAAGCGCAACAGCTCTCATATCATGTAATAAAAGGAATTTTTCTAAAAACTGATAAAAATATATTCAAAGATTTCGATAAGATTTTGAAAAAATACTTTGATTATTATATAAATAATTATTACATTATAATATTTGGATAAAATAAACTGTAAAATATTGGTTATAAGCACGTGCTTCCACCGTTACTTACTCTGCAAATGTCATCGTAATATATATTTGTATACTATCATCATCCCAAGAATGTTACTCAAGATACACAAGTGGAATTTTAGTTAACCTTGAAAATTAAACTACGGTATTCTGATCCAATATACCTTCAGAACTATATTTTAATATAGTAAAAACTTGTATAGTCTAATTCTATAACAAATATTTTATAAATTTATAAAATAATATGTTTTATAAGAAATTGCATTTTTACAAATTAATTTTTCTATTTTTTTTATTTTTACAACAAGCAATCTATTACAATAAAAATAAAATAACAATAAGCTTTAATTCTGGCTAAGCATAAAGGAAATAAACAATATTGCAGACTGATCCAATGACCAAACTTCACTGATAAAATATAAAAAAATAATAATCAAAGTACATCACATCAGAAACGAGTAGGAAGTTACTGCGGTTGGAATTATTTCAGTCGTAGATTACCATCTGAGTGCTAAGGATCAAACAACCTGCAGACATAACAATCATTGGATATGCGGATGACCGGGCAATAGTGGTGGTAACAAAAACAGAAGATGAACTGACTGAAAAAGCAAACTTAGCCACATTTAATATACAGAACTGGATGTCAGAGAGAGATCTGACACTCGCGCCACAAAAAACAAGGGGGTGTTACTGATTGGAAGGAGGAAAGCAAAACCTATAAAATTTACCATATCAGGCACAGAAATAACTGCGAGGAAAGTCATTAAATACCTGGGGGTTTCCATTGACAGTAGCCTGACCTACGCCGAGCATATCAGAGCAGTAGCCATCCGAGCAGCAGAAACAACTACAGCTGTAAACAGGTTGATGCACAACAAGGGTGGCCCGAAGTCTAGCAAGAGAAGATTGCTAGGATTAGTGGCACAATCTATGCTGTACGCTGCTCCTATATGGGAACAAGCAATGACAATTCTAAGCTATAAGAAAGAGCTAGAAACGGTCCAACGGAGAGGAGCAATTAGGATATGCAGCGCGTATAGGACAATTTCCCGAGACGCAGTGCAGGTGATAGCTGGTGTGCCACCAATAGAGCTCCTTGTTCTGCAGAGAGGTGAGAGGCAAAGGGGTGCGACCAAAGCGGATGCCAGAGGAACTGCTGCAAAAATGACAATATAAATAGCACAAGTCGGAGAAAGGAGCCTGGACTCGGCGCCTAATCCCGCAAATAGAGCCTTGGTTAAGCAGAAAGCACGGTGTAACAACATTTCACCTGAGCCAGGCGCTATCCGGCCGTGGATGCTTTGGCAAGTACCTGCACTTCATCGAGAAAAAGGAGGATGAAAGGTGCTGGTACTATGAGAAGAACGATAGCCCTGAGCACACACTATTTAGGTGCTGCAGATGGGTTGGAAGGAAGCACAAGGCGGAGGCAGCATTGGGAGTTTTGCTATAGCCAGAAAATATTATCAGTGAAATGCTGAAGAGTGCGGAGAGCTGGGATATTGTAGCCGCGACATATCAGAGGTGCTACTAAGCAAAGAAGAAGACGAGCGGAGGCTGCAGACGGCCTACGAGGATAGTGGCAGTGGAGGCCAGCATTAACATGATGTAGGGGAAGTGCCAGAGAAGCAAAGACAATCAGCATCGCAGAGTAGTATAGCGATACAGGTCCTGCATGCTGACGAAGAAGGGGAGAGGTTTTAGTGCGGTAATCCCACAGTACCACGACTCCACCCGTGGTCCCTATGTAAGGTTTCATCTCCTCTACAAAAAAAAGATTACCATCTGTGTTGCTTAGCTCTATAACAAGTTGATTCGGATGATCCTCCAGCTGATGACGATATATGGTGCTGGCCTCTAAAATCTCTTTTTTTACGATTTTTAGTGGACCGGTGCATAGAGTCGTTGGTGGTGAACCATGAAGAATTAGTCAATTGCCTCAACGTTTTTGACTGACATCTCTGGATGATATCTATGCTTCAGTACATGCAGATCCCGAAATTTGAATACCATAGGTCCAAATTCAAATTTGATGACTACCTTATCTACGAAGAGTTAGTTTTGTATTGAGTTCTATAAATTAGATAAATATTTATTTTGCAAATTAGTTATGAACATATAAAGATATATATATTATAGAAGAAAAAGGTGTTTTTAATCCATTTTATATAATTTTCTTATCTAGCTACGTTACATTATCAAAAGCTAATAATAATTTTATATTTTTAGTACAACATAATTTCTGCTATCCATTCTATGAATATAAATAATAATGCAGTGGGGTGCGACACTGCACAACATTTATATAGGATAAAACTTGATGTTAATCACGTCATAAAAATATAAAATAAAGATTGTTGATTTATTTTTCTCTTTATTTATGATTATATAATATTTTTTTTTATATATATTTAACTGTTGTTTCATTAAATATTATTATTACTCACGTTTATAAATCTATATTTTTTTAAGTTGTTTAGAATAAAAAAAAATAATTATTTAAAAGTGTTTTGCATATCGTTATTTTTTCTTTTAATAAAAATACACTTTTTATAATAACTTAAGAATTTAGAAACACTGAAAACGATTTAAATATATTACTTCTTTGAAGAAAATGTTTTATTTGCATCAGTAAATAAACAGGTGACAACATGTGTCATGTACATATGGTAGTCGAGTTTGACAGAGTTTGTTACTCTATTTTTTTTTTTGCAATGTTTTAAAACATTTTATTATATAAAGTATTGCAAAACATCCGAATACATTGGACACTTTTTGGAGTACAATATGAAATATTTATGTCTTCACTTCGCCCCTTATTTTAATGAATAGTAATAAATTTTGTTGATGCCATGAAACGAAATTTATTCCAACAAAATATACATGATATTGCAAAACAGCCTACAAAATTAGGTCTGTTTTAGAATATAACATGATTTTTTCTTGCCCCTTATTTTAAATGCTAGTGAACAGAATGTTTAGAATTACATTACATTTTTTTTAAAACATGTTTCAAAATCATGAGTAATAAAAATCATTGGGTGCGAAGATGCTTATCCATGAATTGCTGCAACAAACTTTCCAGTTTTTTTTTGGCCTTTTCTTATGAAAAGTTAATTCATTAATTCTTTCAATTTATACCTTAAACACTTCCAAATTCCGATATAATGCGATGGACAGTCTAAATTTAATATATCAAATTCATTACAATTAATAATATTCAGTATTTTTTAGAAAATGTGACTAATGCACACTAAAATTATTTTTTACAGGAGATTAGTAACTGAATAATCAGTGTAAAAAATATATACAAAGTAAAGTTTTTATTTTTTTTACATTTATTTTTGTTATAGATTATAAAGAATTTTAAGAAATTTTATAATGGCTACATACTCAGTGCAAGAACTAGTCAAAATTATTGAATTTTATTATTTTACTCAATAATGTATTATTAGAACGTACAATAAAATATTTATTCATCCGTTAGATAAGAAACTTAATCATCTGTTTTTAGGAACGGGGTGCAGTATGCGATCGTCAACGATAAAATGTTGATCGTACTGTTCGCAATAAGAAGCTGTGGTGACTCTACGACAAAGTGTCAACGATGATCCATTTGTGTCTGATCGTCGACGAGCTACTCAGTTGGGCATCTCCAGAACATCGTTAAAACGAATATTAAAACTTGATTTGAAGATGTTTCCATACAAAATAAAATTGTTAATACAAGATTCAGAACATTGCCTTAGATATGCCAATAAATTCGGTGACCGAATAATTCAGATTATGCTTTTCCTCCTTGTTCTCCCGATTTAACGGCACCTGATTTCTTTTTGTGGGGATGGTTTACCAGAATAAACCACAAACAATAAACCACCTTAAATAAGATAGAAATAACAAATTTGGAGTCAAAAGTGTATTAGAAAAAGTTATTACGTGTCAACAAGAAAATTGAGATATGGTAAATGATAATATTTTCCACATTTATATGAGAAAAATTCTAATAAACTATACTTTCATAAAAAAAATACAATTACAAAAGTTATATGTATTTTACATTAGTCAGTCGAACTTGGCCCAACCTGTATATGAAAAATCAGAAGGTTTGTTCATCTAAAAAAGTAAAAATAATGCATTTTTTCAGCAAGCAGTTCATGTGCAAAAAGCATGTGTAACTACAGTCATACCTCGATTAATGAATAAGATGCATTCAACAAAATTACTTTGCGACAAAATAATGTATTCAGAAGTAAATGTATTATGGCCCAAATCGGAATGTGTTCATTCCTAAAGAAAATGAAAAGCTTTTTTGAACAAATTTTTTATTAAACAAACAACAACAACAACATTGCCTCATAAATGAAGATTATGTTTACCTTCTTAACTCATTGGTTCTGAACATTTTTAATTTCGATATCATTTTCTTTGTCATCATTCCTAATAAGATTTTGTAACTGAAAAACCCTCATCTTCTGCATTCAACAAATTTATAACATTTATCTAGATAACTTCATTTCTAAATTATTACAATAATAGCTAACTTCGTTATATCAAAACGTTGCTAACAGAAGCAACACTTCTGTCTTCATATCGATAATGTAAAGTGTGTATATAAAATACTTTAGTATAACAAATAACAAACAAATAATTCATGAATCTAACTTTTCCTACAATCTGATGTTCGAAATGGACAAGTTCAAGTGTGGAGGTTGTCCCTAGAACTGTGGCCGTCAACTCCTCTTATATATTTTATATATCTTTAAAGCCAAATTAAATTTATTTTTCATTATAGTTGTTTTTTTTTTCTATTTATTTATGATTATATAATTTCTTTTTTATATATATTTAACTGTTGTTTCATTAAATATTATTATTACTCACGTTTATAAATTTATATTTTTTTTTAGTTGTTTAGAATAAAAAAAATAAAAGTGTTTTGCATATCGTTATTTTTTCTTTTAATAAAAATACACTTTTATAATAACTTAAGAATCTAGAAACACTGAAAACGATTTAAATATGTTAGTATAACAAATAACAAACAAATAATTCATGAATCTAACTTTTCCTACAATCTGATGTTCGACCTGGACAAGTTCAAGTGTGGAGGTTGTCTATGGAACTGTGGCCGTCAACTCCTCTTATATATTTTATTTATCTTTAAAACCAAATTAAATTTATTTTTCATTATTTCATTTACTATTTCAGAGTAATTTTCTTTCTTAGAATATTTTCTTGTTTATGTACATACTACTAATTTGCTCTTTACAGAATGTTTGTTCGGTTTTGTTGGTTTAATATTTTAAATTACTTCAATTACTATGAAAATTCTTTGCATTGAATTTTTCATAAAAATATTATAATTCTCGAAAAAGATAATAATAATTTAGTTATGAGCAAAATGTTATGATAACGTTATTTATGTACGTTATTAAAGAAACGGTTTTGTTAAAATTTTATTTATTTAAATATTCTTTATTGTTTTTTTTTTATAAGTACAGTGTTGTTTTAATGTTGTGGAGACTGGTATGGGATGATGGGATGATTAAAATAACATTTAAATATTCTAGTTTTTAATATTGAAATTTTTTAAAAGTATTGAATTGTTTTGAAACTTTACATTATTATAATATAAGAATATAATTCGAATTGAAGAACATTTTTCTGTATTATTCAAATATGTATTTTTTCATTGAATGCATATGTATTCAAAAAAAAATATACAGAAATTGTTTAAAGTTGTCAAATTGTTTTTAAATTGTAAGTCTGATTCTTATGGGAAATCTTGTATTGAAAATATATCTTCTTATTGTAATGATTGAAAATTTACAGATAATGGTGATGGATGGATGGATGTTGTTAAACGTTAATTTTGTAATGATAAGTAAATAATTATAATTTATTCTCATATGAATCTGTATAGTATTATAAAGTAAAGGATTTAAAATAAAACAAAAACAATTTTCAATAATTAATACTTTTTTTCTCTTAAAAAAATACAATATTTATTTATTTATGTACACTTTATGATAACATGCTTAACAATTACTGGTAATGCACTTTTTACAAAAAAAAACTAACATAGAAATAATAAAATTATTAAAATCGCTTACAGTAACGAAAAAAACAAAATAAGTTAATAATTTCGATAAAACATAAAAATATAACATAAATATTTGTAAATAATTTTGCAATTCGTTTGAAACAGTGATTTTAAATATTAATATAAATAAACACATTAAATATTAACTTAACAGAAATATGTATATAGCATTATAATAATCACATTATTGGAATTAATGAAATTAACAGCAAATTATGAGCGTTGAGAATTAAACAAAAGTGAATGTATCTTTATTTACATATATAATTATTGCAATAATGGAAGTTGTATGTTTATTTTTAAATAAATTACTTAAATTGCACACTTTTTGCATTATTAATTTAATAATACAACAATTTTTATTGTCGCTTCGTTGTATTTTAATCTATTTGCTAATATTGCTATAATTTGTATATTTTATAAACGAGTTAAGTTAGTTGCCTATGTTAAGTGAAGACAACACTTCTTCCATGATATTGTTTGAAGTACATAGAAAGATTCAGTCGTATCTATTCGGTGTGAACTAATAGAGTTAGCATTAGTTTTTTCCTATCTATTCTACATCACCGGGACGCTAATAAATTAATTTTCGTAAAGCTAAAACAGTTTTTCTTCATTTTTTTCTTCTTCTTATTATTTTAAATACGTTTGACCTAAGTCAAACTATGAGTTTATAGCTCTTGTTATCCAATCCACTGTTTGGGCGACTCTATGGTATATCCCAGGTTGTCCAGGTTGAGCGCAGGAATATCCTGCTGAAACGATACCAATTAGGTACCATCTGTTCTGCTTCTGGAGCATCAAAGGACCACCAGAGTCTCCTTGGCAACTGTCCTTGCCGCCGTTCTTGTACCCGGCGCACAGCATCTCGTCGTAGATGACTACGCCGATGCCTTTCGATCGATGCCACCTCTCGCAGAGTCTGCTATCGATGACAGGCACCTGGACCGCCTGCAGGGTGCGCGGTCGCTCCCTGGACCCAGGTTTAAGGGCACCCCATCCTGCAGCAACTCCCACCTCGCCTAAGAAGCTCTCTCCCTTCGGGGGTAAACAGATCGGTGCGATGTGGGGAAGTTGGTGACTGGCTGTCCTATCCAGACGTAATACAGCAACGTCGAAACGATCAGCTTGAGGTGTGAACTTGAAGAATGGATGTACCTGAAAAATAAAGAAAGAAGACATGCAGCACAGTTAGTCAGTAATCTTATCTGATAATGCAAAATGCGTTTTTAAAACTTCTTAAATCAATTAAATGGATTAAATGCTTAAAATTTTGAATAGCCATTATATTTATCTTCAATAATTTATTTATAAATTATAATCAGTTAAATCATTTATATACAATAAATAAAGTAAAGATAATAAACTTACAATTTTTCATTTCTTCGATATTTTAAATATTTTATAAATTCTTGTTTTTTATAAATTTCATATAAATTAGTATCGAAAGTTTTTATTAGTATTTATGTCTGTTTACTAGTTACTAGTTAATCTACTTTAAGTTAGATTGGATATGTAAAAGACATTAGAAATTATTACAATTTTCATGTATAAAAGTTTTATACTTAATACTAGTTATAATATTAAAAATATGAGTTTTTTATATCGATTTACTTATATCACTATAAAAAAAATAGAAACGTTAGACAATTATATTGTCATAGGTTGGCCATTGTCATCTGGCTCGACGTTCTCGAAAATTATATATGCTGAGATGAACACTTTCTAAATTAGTAGAGCTTAGTTTTGCAAACTTTTCAATTAACATTTTTTATGGAAAGATTTGCAGTCAGTAGTCAAGTTTTAGCTAACACTACATTTCTGTACTCATGTACTCATTTTTTTTTTGCATGTATACAGAGCAATTATTTTAAGAAATATTAATACATTCAAAACAATACACCTATACATCCGCTCTTTATATGGTATTTCGTTATATAACCGTTCTTTAATTATGGTACTTTTTCTCACAAAATGTTTCGATAAACGGCCAAAAAACAATGTGAATAAATGTTTATATCAAAATAATTGATTTGTTGTAGGTCTTTTCACTATAACGGCATTCTTTAATTATGGCATTTTTCGATTAAAGGATCAAAATGTTTCGTAAACGGCCAAAAACCAATATGAATAAATGTTTATATCAAAATAATTGATTCGTTATACGTCTTTTCACTATAACGTCTTTCTTTAATTATGACACTTTTTCGATTTAAGGATCAAAATGTTTCGTTAAACGGCCAAAATACAATGTAAATAAATGTTTATATCAAAATAATTGATTTGTTATACGTCTTTTCACTATAACGGCTTTCTTTAATTATGTCACTTGTTCGATAAATGTTTCGTTAAACGGCCAAAACAAATATGAAAAAATCTAATGTTTTGTAACTCATTCATAAATAATCATTAATATTTTGTAAATAAATTCTATTATAATCAAATCATAGAAAATCTATGATTCACATCAAATATCTAAGTTTTTTTCGGTAACTGAGACCTAAATTTCATACTATAGAAAGAAAAATATATCGTACTTATATTCGAAATTTCGTTATTGTCTTTAACTTGATAAATTGTGGGATGAGATGAAAAAAGGATAGGGAAAATTATTACTAAACGGATGAATTCAAAAGACGCCATAAATTACAACATGGGATTGTTTCAGTAAGAACTCTCCAAAGAACAAAATTTAAAAAGTTAATTAAACTGTTTTGTCTGTAGTTATAATTAAGAAAATTTACTGAAACAAATTATAAAAAAAAACTTTGATTCTTATCTAGAATTTTAATTGTATTTTATATTATTCCTGTTTATTTTGATTTAGCATTTTCTAATAGTTAATGAAATTATATTGACCGCATTCTTAATATATTGTATATTCAATATTAAATAATCAATATTTCTTTTGGATACATAATGCAAAGGATTGCCATCAATTTAGAATCATGTTTTTTTCTAAAAAACTTGTTAATCAATAAACTGCTTAACTCTGGATTTCAAAATGTGTCTCGAATTTTCTTTTTAGTGTTAATGTTATTTTAATGAAATAAAGCCATGAGACTAAAAACAACTGTATAATATGAATTATTATAATTTCAGCATATTCCAGTAATTTATTAAAAAAAAAACAATAATTTAAATTGCTTCATCAGCGAAAACTTGTTAATACCTTGACATAGTAATAGTTTCTAAAGAAAAAAAACTCAAAGCTCTACATTACAGAACAAAAAGAAATACTAAAAGAATTCCCTCATTACATTGACACGAACTAATTACTAACAAAAATTCTAATAATTCTTCTTTCCTTCATTCTTTCTTTTTGCCCCGCATTATTTATTGTTATTATTCTCTTGAAATAATTCGTTTGTTTTGTGGCCATTCCATGAGACATGAAGAAAGTTATTATACATGGGTTGTCTCTAGATATTTATATATATATATATTTCCTCCTTTTCGAGAAGTTTTAGGAAATAATTACAGCGTGAAGCACTTTCATTTTTCTCTCTCTTATATATTTATTTTCTCTCTTTGAGTCTCTCCAATGGTGAGAAGAACATATCCGCTTTTTTTTTACTTCTGGCATAATACATGCAAATGTAACGTTAAACTAAATCCGGTTCCAATGAGGTCATCATCGGTTTGTTTATTTTAAATGCAATTTGAGAACATATTAAGAAATTAAATTCAGATATATTTACGAATCTTTTATCCATAATAATGATTACACATTAGAATAGAATCTTTATTTTCTAATTAGCAAATGACTGAAAATAAATCGATTCAAAATATTTGATTAATTAGTAAATAATCTATGAAGTTTCACATATTTCTTTCATTAATAAATACTAAATCGCAATATGTATATAAAATTAATGAGTATTAATTTTATGTATGAAATAAATATTTCGTTTTTATTAATATAAGTACAATATAAACAATTATAGTATCTTTCTTTTTATCACATATCAATTATATTTGAAATATTTTCTATTTGCAAGTAAATAAATTATATTTAAATGACACATATAAAACTAATACATTAGTTTCATAAGATTTTGTAGTTACCTTCATGAACGTGAATACTTAACATGAAGTTAAGTGAGTTTTTCTTTTAATTTTTATCAAAAAGCTTGGAAAAGTTCTTTACAAAGTAAAGCATGGAGGAGATCAGTATTAGTTAGACATTATTATTAGTTTAGTAGTTTAAGTGAGAGTATTAAGAATTGTATTAAGTATAGAAAAAAATAGTAAAAGATGTAGATAAACGCCATCTTTGAAATACTCGCGCAACTTGGTCCTTCGTCAAAACAATATTAATAAAATAAAAATATTAGACATTGTTCTTGAAAAATGTTCATGTTTTCAATCATTTAGTTTGAAGAATGATGGAAATCAATGAATTACGAAATATTATTACGAAATGTGATATTTCTGAATTTCCAAGAATCTTTGCAATTCCATATTCCTACAACTTTTTTCTCGTTGTTATTAAGATAATTTTTATATCAACTTCAATAAATAAGAGATTTTTTTTTAATATAATTAGTCATTATTAATTATTGATAAACGATAATAAATAAATATATGAATAAAATAATAGAAATATATTAGACATTGTTTTCGAAGAATATTGAAATTTCCAATCAACTAGAAAAATGATGGAAATCAATGAATTATGAAATGTAATGTTTCTGAGTTTCCAAAAATTTATGCAATTTAGTATTCCTAGAAGATTTGATATGAAAATGATATTTTATATTAAGAATATATATGTTCATATTTCCGACTTTAAGAAATAGCTAGATGCTAAGGAAATCTCATAAAATATCGCTGCTGAAAATAAATATGTTTATAGTTTGATCAATACTTCTTTTACTAAAGAAACACAATGCTTTTGCACTCAATTTATCTTAAAAGAGAGATTATATTATAAAAATGAAATATTGTGGCTGAAATATTCATATTTTCTGATGCGCTCTAGATATTTTCTTATATATATGCATAACACTAACAGATATTTTGCGATACACAGATAATATTATTTTAAATCGTCTATAATATTTCTGATTTATATTTATATAGTAAATTCAAGTAAATATTACCACTTTCTTTATTTATAAAATAAATTTTAGTAGTTGAATTATTAAATATTTAATTAAAATAAATTAATATTAAAATAATTATAATATTATTTATTAAATAATTGATTAATTAAAAAAAAAACAATAAATGAAAATAACTTAAATTATTTGATTGATGTCAAATTGAACTTAATGTGTAAATGGATGTGTAATTATGTAATGGTAGAAAGGTAAACCAGATTATTAAAACTAATTGAGTAGAGGATGATTTATGTATGAGCATAATACGCATCGAACGAACCTGTATCTGTGACACCCCAAATGTGTAGGCGGGAAACGGCTCCATAGCCGAGTTGATTACGTAATCACCGAGTGTTACGTGCACTTGCCTGGGCGCCGCGCGTGCAACGCAATGGCCTGCAGTAACTACGTGACGTCTACTAACTAGCGAACCTCCACATCTGAAAATAAACATACAGAACATTAGTTACTTTTATATTATTGATATTAACTGTTTCACCTTTTTTTAATTCAAATAATTTAATTTATATTAAAAATATGTATTAACTTGATAAGTACTTTACAAGAAATGCATTTTGACAGCGTTTCTCAACCTATTGGCGGGCGACCCAACATATTTGTTGTGTAGTTGTAATATGACCCAATTGTTTATATTATAAAAAAAATACGATTTGACACAAGGTGACAATTGTAATTTTGCGACTCCTTTTTAACACAATTCAGTATTGTGTCCCATAGGTTACGAAAGATTCCATTATAGTATTTTTAATGTATTTACTTCTTATAAACGATGTAGACATATATAGTATTTTATTATATGATTATTACATGATTATGTACAACTTTTCAGGCAAATAACAATTAACAATCAGAATTACATTAAATGCAAATGATGTCATTTAATATCTATAAACAAATGTACACTTTTCTAAATATCTACACATTACAATAAAATATAAATTTCAAGGTGTAATTGAATCTGTCAAATTTAGTATCAACCTCATTAGACGAAATCATAACCAAAAATAGTGAAAGTTGTAATTTGGTTTCAAATTGATATAAAGTTTAAATATTTTCATAACATTTTTTCGTCATCTACTTATAGTATTTCTGAACACAGTATTTTCTATTCTCATGTTTTGCAGATCTTTGTTATATATCTATTTTGGAACCTTTTGATAATTATTATAAATATTAACAACTTTAATTTTTGATAAAAGTCCTAGGATATCTGATATAAATAACAAAATATATATTGTATTTATTTATTTATATTTTTTCTTGTAATTACAAGAAGAATATTCAATATATTCAAGTGTTAATTAGCTAATGTGTTTTTTATTATTTTAAGTTTAAAGAAACTTTAAGAATAAGTTTTGTTTTTACGTCACTCTAAAAGATTATATTCTTATTTTTTTTTGTTAAAATATTTCTATAATTATATAGAACATAACATAACAACATTATGTTCTTATAGATTCATTCACTACTAATTAATCATAGTTCAATTAGTCATGAAATTATATAATTCATAATATTAGTCGATTTTTGCATGCTCTATTGTTACTTTATTTTTGTCAATCTCACAAGAAAGTCACCATGTCACTTGTCAAATATATCACACTATTATTCACTATTTGTTTAGTGTAGTTTTAATTTATGATACATATATTTTAATTTGGGCACCCAGTATAATTGAAATACATTGATTCTGCATATACAAAGCGCACATGACTCAATTACTATTATTACAAGCTTATGATATATACATGAACAAATTCTTTGTTCTTGTGTTAATATAAGATATTTGGCCAGGGGCGGATTTAGGCATAGTCTTCATGAGCTGCATTACAGAGCCCTGTTCTTTAAAATAATACATACAATTAACCCAAACTTAGGTTAATTCAATAACTAAGAGCCCCAAATAATGTAAGTCTAGTGCCCCCAAATAGTGTTATTTAACGATTTAATACTACTTCTTTATATCAGGACAAAATTAATAAAAATGTAAAAAATATTTTTTTATGTCATTTCAATTTATTTATTACATATGCTGTAAATTTGATGAGTATAATAATTAAATCAAACAAAGATAGTAAATGCAAAGTGTTTTTCTCCGTTGCATGAACTATTGACATTTAGTGACCTAGAATATATATGTGTATAGGTGGAAGAGTTTGCGTGTGTGTGAGCTTCGCTTTTGCGGGGGCGGCATTGGATGTAGCGGTGTGGAGGCGGCGGCGGAAGGTTTTGGTGGGGCGGCATTCAGGGGTGGGGGCGGTTTTGGCATTCGGAGAGCTTTATAGATTTTGCCTGTCGGCCGGTGGATCCGGGTTCCGGGGACCGGGAAGTGGGTCAAGTTTATGCAATCGATCGAAGTAACCGTTTTTAAATGGCGATACTGACCTACCTAAATACAATGCGCATTAAACCTTGAAATATTTACGAACGCAAAACTTTTGTACGCAACGTCAATATTGAGACTCCGGTAATTGCAATGAAATTATGATAAATTGAATGGTTGAGCAACAGTTGAAGAGATGCTATCTGCGTAATAACAAATATTTACTTATACCGGCAATAATAATATTACAAATATTTCCTTTGTCACGGATGTTAACTTATTTTAATTATCGTTTATATTTAACCATAATTAAGTGAAGATATCATTATTTATATAAACTGCAATTGCAATTATATTTAAACAATATAAAATTAAAAATATGAATTTCACACTTTCACACATTACTAAATTCTATTTACTTAATTATAAAATATGTTTTTCTGTCCCATAATTCTAATTATTTGGACTTTTGTAATATTATTTCAGTAAATATTATTATAATTTTAGACAAAACAACATTATTTTTGTCAAAATTCTTAAATATTAATAAATACTCATTTGTTTATACCAAAGTTATCTGTATTTCCTTTGTTATTATTTGTATGTGATTTTGATTTACTCGATTAGTCCAGTATCAAATAGCTTGGGATATTGTCTTCAATATACATACTTTATTCTTGTTTTGTTGAATTTGTATAGTTTTTTTGTTTATTATTCATACACTACGGAATATAATCCGTTCAGAAGACGAACCCGAATTGTACGTTAACGATTTAAGAAGCGTCTCGAGCTATATCGGTGATCGGTTAAGGAACAGTTCGGATTTCGTACAAATCGGACAACGAACACTTTCGGTGCTCTTTGCACCCCAAAGTAACGTCGAATGGTTTGAAGGTGTACGTTATCCGAACATGTGTTTCAAATCTTTCCCGTGTTCGTTGTCCGATTTGTACGCAGTCCGAACTGTTTCTTAACTAATCAATCACCTATTGTATATTTCTAATAATGATGATAAGATTTTTTTCAAATCTATTTTTAGTAAAACAAAAATAGTCATACTTAAAATTATATATGTACTTCAAATATACTGTAAAATGTTATAAAAAATGTTTTTTTTCTAATAACTTGGATTTAAATTCTGAGAAATTATGAGTTAATCTCTATGTATAAAATGGGATTATAATATATTAATCACAATAATAAAAACTTCTTTATATTTTTTAACTATTATTGAAACAATGTGTAACATTTACAATTAAATTCAATTATTAGATTATAATACATTAGTCATAACCAGAAATGTTATACAACAATTTCTTTGTATATTTTTTATAGCCAATGTGGAAGCACTTTGTAACATTTACAATTATATAACGTATATAATAATGATCTCATTAGATTGTATAAGATTTGTTTCAATGAAACGAGTGCAAGTGCACGATGTCTATTGAATTGTTATGTAAAATTGCAGGAAAACGTTGAGGAAAATATCCATCTTCTTCCTAGTTTTATTAAATAAATTTCTCTTTATATACAGACAGCTATTTTTTTGCTTATTTGTTAACATCGCAAATCCTGGCGAGTTTCTAATTTTTCAACACAAAAATTACATAAAGAATTTTATTTGTACATTCAATTAGTAACTTTTTACCAAAGTCAGTATTGTATTTAGTGTATTCAGTATAGTAGTTTCACTTTTTATGTTAATATATTCAAATTTTGTAAAATTAAAGTTAAGCAACGTTTGTAACATTACACGGATCAATGTGCAAATTCATGACAAATAATGGGGGGATTTAAATTTAAATTTAATAACGATAATTATATAATATAATAAAATAGATAACAATCTAAAACATTTAGATTTCCGATTTAATATAGCAAAAGTGTAATAGAATAATTTCGTTTTTCTCGATGGGCAGTGGTGCGCACATTGTACTACATTTTGAATGAAAACTAATTACAATTATTATAGTTTTCTAGGAAATAGTAATTACCCCTTAATTTGGTTGATATATCACGGGATGAATTTCATAGGTCAGTAGAAGACGTTTATGTTGAATCCATACCACCCGATGTTGATTCAGTTGTCGGGAAATCCCGGGAATATAACTATGAGATTGCTATTATTAATGAATTTGTGTAGATGTTCTATTTGCAAATTTCGAATTGTATTGAAAAGTATTAAAATGTTAAAATTGCAATTTGTTTTTACAAGAGTTAACTAACTTTTATATATAATAGTTAATTGATGAGAGAAGAAGCACTCTTAAGAATCAGAATTAATATAATATAAACTATTTATTGTTTAAAAATATGTTTATACAATCAGAACTTTATTAGTACATTAATACAAATATTGATTTCAAGTATTATTATAAATACAAACAGATATATTGTTATGCATTTAATGTATTACATTAAATGTAAATGCGATAAATAATTCGCACCGTTAATTTGATTATTCATGTACGAAAATATTGGATACAAATGGAAGCTAATAACCAAACAACATCGAATAATTAATGATCATGCTTTAATTAAAATAATTACTTCGCTTGATGCTTTATTTCATTTCTACATAATTACTCATGTTTAACTGGATTTTAGCAATGCATACTGTAATTACGTGTAATTATACCCACAGCATACATATGGATTTTCAATTGCAGCTCAATTTGGATACATTCAAATGATGTGCAACGTTTCTGCATTAATTATACGTATTAGAAAGTAATGCAGATTTTATCATGCAAATATGAATTGTTTCGCAACCATTCATTACATATAATTCAGTTAAATAAATTACTTTTCAAAATTGGAACAATAATATAAATTCTAGAATAAATTTCAATTTGATTTACTACACTATTAAGTAAGTAATAACTTGGATCATTTATTTAATAACTTAAATTAATTCACAATTGACCTGAAAAGATCCATGAACATTGTATAATTTAATAATTGAACATTTTATTAGAGATGTATAAATATTTTGAACGACTTAGAATGTACGTGCATCGAAGTTTATGATCAGAAAGCAGAAAGTCAATATGTCTGGTTGTTTGTTATTACATCCAATATTTCACCTATTTC